TATATCCCCGGGGCTGGGTCTTGAAGTCGTCCGTCCACGACTATACGGTCAAAGCTTTTGAAACCCAAGCACCTGCCATGGGGTGATCTTCGAAGCTTCTTCGGAATCCACGGGAGCCAGCAAAGATCCGGGTGTGGTCTGGACTCATGTCGACATGGTCTCATGCCTGTCCCGTTTGCTCGTGGTCGAACCATCCGGTGGTCGAGGCGGTTCAAAGCCGGGAGAAGGGCTGACAGCTATGGTGTGTTTGCTACTGACTCTTGTAAGATTGCGGATCCGCGGGCCCCGTTTCAAGCTGTCTGGGAGGATTTGACAGACGGACTAGGTATGCGGCAATGAGGATCTCGAACTGCACAGATATCCGTGGCATTTTCCATGGAGGCGACCTCGGAAGTCGGAGCATGAAAGCTCTCACTGCCACTTAGACTAACATATCTCGTCCCCGTGACCCAATAAATACGAGGAGTAATTAGAATGATGTGCCGGTGTCAACTAACTAGATATGATTTGGTATTCGAGGCATCATACTAACATTAGTTCGAGACAGATCTCTCACAATGCGACTTTGGAATGAAATGCTGTACACGTAAAGCCGGAAGAAATTCCGCCACCTACCAGGAACCCGAGCCTTCAATGGAGATCTAATACGATCTAGCAGGGAAGAGACTCGTAAGTACGGGTTCGACCTTCGGAAAACCGATATTTAGGTTGATCTAAAAGAGCCTAGCCTTGCACTACAAACCAACTGACAGAGGCGAAAGCTATCCGTACGGTCGTACCAAGTGCTTTTCCTGGGGTTTTCTGAAACTACCAAACTCAGCTCTCCACCTCGGGCGACGTCCCTGCTTCATTCCATCTACTCCGTACGCCGTGGGCAGCAGGGCCAGACGATGGCACGAACACCACATCAAGCAACAAGGGGAACACACGGGATAAGGAACTAGGGCCCGCGTCTATCTCAGCCCCATCAAAAGCCCCAGCCGACTCCGAAGAGCCGTCAACCTGGTATCCGAACCTCAAATCATGACGTGCAGCGGCGACACAGCCAGGCAGCATCCAAGGACGACTCAGAAAAGTGCTGCCACTTCGAATCAACACGATCCGAATCGAAACTCAAAATCCATAAAAGGTCACACCAACTTCGGCTGCAGTTGTTGCCCGCGCCCGTCCGCCACCTGGCTCCATCACCTCTCCCGTTCTAGCGCGTGGGCTTAAAGAGCAGCAAATCGAGTAGAATAACTAGGCAAGGAAGCCATTGCCACCAGAACCAGAATCTCCGGCACTGACTGCCCAGGCGTCGTCTGACCCAAGCGCCGGGAAAATGCTACTTCTGCGGAGTTAGCGCCTGTATAGCGCCGGCGACCATTGGAACAGAGTTCGCCCGTGGTTTGATATGTTCATTCCCAAGTTATTTAAAGGGGGTAAAATCTGCCGATTAGGAATCAACACTGAACCAATCCTGCGCGCCGTGACGCTAGAATTCGCTTGGAATCTACGTTTAAGGGTTCTAGAAAGGAAGCTGAATGCAAGTGGAAAGGTAGAAAACCTTCGCCCTCGGTTACAACGTACCTTGAGACATTGGATCTCTATGGAATGGATGCTGTCTTACTGCATCTTTGTGTTCATTTGGAAACTGCCGACACCATCTCCTGTTGATTCAACTCGGTCAGTCGGGCAGTGCCGGCCTCGCTCGCATCCTCTTCTAACCACATCCCCAAACACGAAGTGAAGTCATGACTTTGCCTAATTAACCCCCCGTCGCGAGTCATTGGACAGGCTGACAATTCGACGTCCGGTCAGACCTCTTCAGAGGATTTAGCCTGCCTTTATCCGCTCCGCTACCCGACATGGGAACAATTTAGTGTCCGTCCAAAGGTGTGGACGCACCCAGTGAGCAACGAGCTGCCCCTGAGGCGCCCGAGCGGCATCAGATTCGCCGACAGGTAGCGTCCGAATTTCTCTGTGGCTGGAACTCGCTGTCTCTCACCCTCCCTCTCATGTCTGTACTGTCTGTCCTTCTGTGTCTGCTCATCTCTCGAACGAATATGGCCAAAGGGTGGTGGGGGGCTTCATAGGCGAGGGACCCCCTTTTGGCATGTCGCTGATCGCAAGTTTCCCATCCCCGCACTGACAGGGCCTAAAATGTGATAAAGCTCCTAAAGAGTGGTCCTTTCATCGGGGAGGTCTTCCCGATTCATCGCCCCCAACGCGACCCTACCAACTCGGCCGTACGACGCCCTTTCGGCTTAGCTTCCAGCCATTCTAGGTATTGTATTCGCTGCTTGCTCTTTCTTCAGCAAGAAGCTCTAGCTGATCCAAGAGGGTTTGGTAGATCTTAAGTGACAATCTCACACAAGTTACATAATAGTAAGAAGTACGGGAGGGCGTTCGGCGCCGGCCTACACAGCCACTACCATTGTACGGCTCTACTAAACGACTTAGAGTGTTTCTAGACGCATTGACAGTCCTTCTTCTGGTCCAAACTATCGTCGGCCAGGGTTCATGCAGAAGCGTGTGTCAGGAAAAGCCCACCCGCCATGTGGGTTCCCCTTGCACCATGCTTCACGTACTTCGTACCTTCTTTTTTTCTCCTTCCTGCAGCGGGCAGCAGTTCTGACCCCTCGGTGGACTAGCCCGCTTTTGCTCTTTTCGCCCGGAAGTCTGCCGCGTCGACGCAGAGACAAGCGCAGGTATCTGTGGGTGTGGTGGGTGTGTCACTGTGGGTTGGCCATGGTGAAAGATGGGCTCGCGCACTCGCGCGATAGAGGTCTTGGCCACCGGGTGGGATTCGAGGAACTGTGAGTGGGAGAGGGGAAGGGGTCCAATGCTGCCCACTGCGTAGCCTTCTTAATTCGTTCCAGTCTCTTTTTCTCATAGAAGGAGGTAGGTCGGATAAAGGGCCTTGCTTCATATTAAAGAAGACCGGCGGGTCGCACAAACATCCTGGAGAATGGAGATGCCCTTTTCCTTCCCCCTTCGCTTCTTCGATTGCTACTGGCTTTTTCCTGGGTTTAATTACTTGTTTCCCTTCATGATTCCCCCCAGGGTATCTAGGAGATGACCACATATCCGAGGCGGTATGGCCGGCGCTCGCTATTACTGCTCCTACTGTGGTGTATTGCTTCGGTAGCTGAGGCTCAGAGCGTCGCCGGCCTGCTCACACAAATCCCTAATTGCGCAGTAAGTCAACACCAACGTCAAGTTTCTGTCGTTTGCTCAACTCTGTTGTTTGCTTTTTGTACTTGCATGCCCTTGCATTCCCGGCATGGGGCCTTGTCAAATATTCTCCGGGCCGTATGGAGTACAGTAGGGCTGACTTGTCATGTTTGTTGCGATAGCTTCCATGCATTACACAAGGTCTACAAGAGGGCAACTGCAGCTTGGCATCGGTTGCGATTGTGACCGAATGTCTCTGTCCCAATATCAAACTGCAGTCAGATTTGTCAACGTGTGTGCAACTCAAATGTCACCTCGAAGACCAAGCTCGTAGGTTTTCTGCAAGTATCGACACGATATTCGCATACTGATGACTGCCAGGCGCCGCCAAGCTCGAGACAAGTCTTTGCGATGCGTATCCCAAAGAGTCTAGGAGTAATGAAGTCAAGACTATCGCCATCGCGCTGTCAGTCATCACATTTCCCGTTGTTGCGTTGCGGTGCATATCAAGATGGAAGATCACCAACAAGTTGTGGTGGGATGACTGGACAGCCATCTTCGCAACAGTGAGTGAACTCTTCGCAACACCAAAGACGAAAGCTGACGAGAAATCAGATGTTGCTAGCCGGCTTGGCCGGCATCGAAATTGCGAGTGCCGACCTAGGATTCGGAACTCACTACTGGAACATTGAACTCGATGCTGGAACGAAACTACTCAAGCTTTTCTACGCCGTTCAGCAACTCTACATCATGATTCAAGTCTTCGCCAAAATCTCGATCCTGTTGTTCTTCTCCCGAATTTTCCCGGCAAAGTGGTTCCAGCTCACCGTCCGCTACTTTATCATGTTTTTGCTGCTCCACGGGCTGATATTCCTTCTGGTTATCGTGTTCCAATGCACGCCAGTCTCTTCGGTCTGGGACAGAAGCAACCCAAACCGGACATGCCTCAACGTGACCGCCATTGGATACGCCGGAGCAGTCTTCAGTATTGTGGAAGACTTGGTGATCTTGGTTCTGCCTATCCCCGAGTTGGTGAAGCTCCAGCTCAATATAAGGAAGAAAATTGCGCTGGGCTTCATGTTCAGCCTTGGCTCATTGTAAGTATTTCTTTACAGCCATATTGGTCTGTCGTTATCGACGGTTGTGACTAACATAGTTCGCAGTGCCTGTATCACAACTATGGTTCGCTTGAAATATCTCGTCATGTTCTCGAGCACTTTCGATACTACGTGGGACAACGTCGACATTGTCATATGGTCCATCATCGAGGAATTCTGCGCCATCCTCTGCGCAAGTCTTCCAGCACTCCGGCCTTTGCTTCAAAAGGTCCCGCAACTCTTCTCCAGCAACAAGACCAACACCAAAGATCAAAGCTTAGGGACGGTAAACTCAAGACGCTCTATGCTCAATATTGGAAAGGACAAGTTCCACGAAATTCCCGAGACGCCGTCAATGGCTTCAGAACTACCACCCACACCAATCGATCTTGCAGACGAGATGGCGGCAAAGGCCGACGGGAAGCGTCAAGTCCTCATCACCAAGGATGTCAAGGTCAACGTAGCCAATTTTGAGCTGCAAAATGTCAAGTCTGGCAGGAAATGGCAAAAGAACGAAAATGGGAGGTTCTAATTGGTCAAGGAGGCAGATAGGAAGAGAATCGAAAGTATTCAGCGTTATGGATAAACGTTTTTTTGTATTACATTGGCATTAAAGCGACGGCGAACTTGGAAACTTGATTTGGGAGCGGCGGAATACCAATACCCAGAATACCATTTTGTTTCAGCAAGGGTATAGAACACGATCAAACTTGGGATGTGTGTATAATGGAACGAGTAATGAGCAGATCAGCCGTCGCGCGCTTTGTCCAACTCCTGCGTCTCTCGTGTCTCTGCCCTCTGCTCCTCCGTAACCAAGTCCCAGTCCTCATCCAACTGCCGACGATATTCTGCCGCTGCCAAGCCAGTGGTGACCACCAGATCGAGGTCGAGATCTGCGAGAGCGGCATGCAGCTCGAACCCGGGCCCCCGCCCGGCCTTGCTCATCGTGTTTGTATGACTTGCAGGTGCAGGTCGGCTCCCGCCTTCTCCACTCCCTCTCGAACTGTGTCCTTCTTCTTCTTCTCCTCTGGGGCCAGCATTCACCACGTGCAGCCTCGGACGGAAAAAAGCTAGAGTTTTGCCGTTGAAATCGATGAGCTTCATGCCTTTGCCGTGCTTGCCCAGATCCTCCCACAGCATCTCGCCCACGCCCAGGAAGCGGAAGCTGAGAGTACTAGACAGGGGGTGCTTGCGTGCCACCTTGAACTTGACACCTCGGACGGTAGCCTCTACCCTCGAGGGTAGTGTGCGGAGTTTGATAGCGGCGATGGGGCGGTGTTCTGCGGAGATGGCGTCGCAGTTTACTCGCCGGATTTCCATTTTGGTCATTTTGGTGTTATGACTGATTGTGTATACTGGGATGAGACACTCTTTGTGTTTGAGCAAGTTGACAACGATAGCATCCTCGTTGCCTCTACTGAGGACAAGGATGTGTCGCGGCTCTGGTGGCATTTCCATAAGGTATGTGAGGAACTAGCTCAGAAGAGACGAGCAGGGCTGGTAAATTCTCAGGTTTCCTACATTAATATCAAGTTTCATCTGCTGGGAAGACGTTGAGGAAATGTATTCCGCGGGTTTCTTGTATGTTCGTTGACGTATGCCAAAGTTTCCCAAGGTTACTCAGCAAGACTCTCAGCAAGACTATCTATGGGCGGCATCCCACGGTGCTCTGAAAGTACATAGACCGAAGACGGGATGGAGAAGGCCATAGAAGGTGGTTCATCTATGAATCTCGGGCGCAATGGTGAGACGGATGGGCGAACCAAAGTGTCAGATCCATGAGGGGAGCTGAAGCTGCCACACTTGGCATCTAAAACCAAGCCAAGGCGCCCGTCTCCTATCGCTCGATACGCCGCGGCGGCTATGCTGTGTACCTTTCTCCGATGACGTATGCCTCAATATTCCTCTGGTAGAAGCTGATGTGCCGACGACGGGAAAATCCCCAGTATCCCACATACGGCCAAGCTCGGGCATTTTGGCAGCGATTTAAGGTTTCGGCGAGGGCGGGGCGATCGGAGGTGGAGTCGCTTTGCAGTTCACCGTCAGGGACAAGCCGCGATGCCGGTTCTACTGGGGGAGGGAATCTCGATACGACGGGCGCATCCGCGTGTGACCGGAGACTTAATCGATCTTGTTCCTCTCTAAAGCTTGACTGACGTATGGCTGGGTATCAGAAATGGGCGTGTCTAGCCGAGACCAGCCCATTGTCGCGTGTTACTGCAAGGAACGCATGGTTTGGTTAATCAATGGTTCCGCTGAAGGAACTCTCTTCTTCGATCGTGATCGAAGACATGTCGAACCTGCTGAAGCTTTGGAAGAATGTGAAGATGTGTCAAAATGGAGATATGAATGAAGGAAAGAAAGAAGAGAATGTGGTCAAGTCCCATATTATCCATCAAAGTTGCATCAATGATGAGTATGCACATAAGAAATAAATGCAACACTCATCTGGCCATTCGGAAAGGCGAGCAGTAAATGCATCTATGCATCTAAGCAGCTATGACGATGGTGGGGCTAATTCCATAGAAGCCTGGAAGGAGCTCCCCGAGGTCGTTCCTTCCTGCAGCAATGGCACCGTGCTTTTTGGGGAGGTACCTTCCGTCAGCAGCAGGAGCAGCAGGAGCAGCAGCAGCAGCAGTGACAGGAGCAACGTGGACGGGCAACCGGGAAGCTTTGCCCGCACCCAACGACCATCACCACCCGACATCACGATCCTTTGACAAACTTGGGCGTGCGGCTCTTCACACCACATCCTTGTTAAAACACAATTCAAAGCTGCGACACCGACACCCGGTCTCATGAATCTTTGACGCAAACCTCCCCCACTGGCCATGAATTGACCTGCAAGTCAAGATGCCTCCCCCCGAGTTCCGCCCCCTCCTTATTCCTCAAAACCGCAAGCTTCGTCATCTTCGAGGCATCTACCTGCGAAACCTGAGCTTCATTCGCCCTCGAGGCCACACCATTGATGATACTGCTCTGAACAAGACATCCTCGAAGCTCGAATCTCTTCGCGACACTCCTCAGCTCCAACATGCTCTCTCCAGCGACAATCTGCGACCCAAAGCGCTGCGCCGCCGCAGCACTGCTCTGGCCCAAGCTACACCAATCACGAGACAGCGCATGCTACAGTTGACCATCGACGGTAGGGCCGCCGATGTCTTCTTCTCGCTGCATTGCGAAGGCGAAGATGAGCCAGTCTATATCAGTGAAATGCAGGAGCATGCGACGGTATGTCAAATTCCAATCCTTGTGTTCCACAGCCGGACTGACAAGGCGACCAACAGAACTTCAACTTCCAATTCTTCGATCTCAACCACCATGGCCCCTCTGTCACCCGCTCCCCGGTCATGACGATCAAGATCTGGGCGAAGCGAACAGCATGGACTTTGCTGCTTCAAGATACAATCGATCTCCGAAGTCTCCATTTCATCGGCAGCCTCCAGAATCGCAAATTCCCGCCCAACGGCCTCATCTTCCACCTTGCCGACGGTATATACTCGCTCGATGTCCCGGCCAAGCCCACGCACCCGAAGGAGCTGCCACCCCTCCACACATCTTCTTACAACGCTCTGATGAAGCTCGCGACTCTGGATAACTCTATCCAGGACGCCATTGCGACACAGGAGCAGCTCACATCCCAAATCAACGACATCCTAGATGAGACCGCGCACAACGAGACACCAGCCGCCGAGGAGAAGGTGAAGCTGGCCAACAAATACGTGGCCCAAGAGCTGCGATCCTTGAAGGCAGCCGAAAAGCGGCGAGAGGAGCTACGCGAGTCTCTCAAGTCGCGTCGAGAGGCGATTGCCCAAGGCCGCGCCCTCCAAGATAAGCTGGCAAAGGATATTGTCGACGCCACAGAGCACCTATCGGCATCTAAAGAAGTTCTTGCCAAGACCAAGGAGACGATTCGCGGTCAGCGACGCCGCATTTGCGCAGACCTCGGCAACATCTACCAGATCACGCCCTGCCCCACGAGTGCTCCCCTCTCTTTCCAGATCGCGGGCCTGCCCCTTCCAAATACAAGCTACGACAGCGCCACTTCACGCGGCCCCGATGACGACCTTCTCTCCGCCGCTCTGGGCCATGTTGCTGCTCTGACCAATGCGCTGCAATACTACCTGTCTGTGCCGCTTCCATACCCAATCACGCCTTTCGGCTCACGGTCCCATATTCGCGACGATATATCACTGCTTACCGATCTGAACTCGGTGCAGGCGGCTCGACAGCGCGATTTCCCCCTGTACCTCCCGCGAGGTGGGTCGACCGCGGCCCAGTATCGCTTCGACTACGGTTGGTTCATTCTCAACAAAAATATTGAGGCACTCTGTGCCAGCCAAGGGTTGAAAGTCGTCGACATACGTCATACGTTACCCAACCTCAAGTATCTCCTGTACGTGTGCAGCGCCGGCACCGAAGAAGTTCCCGAGCGTAAGCGAGGCGGCGTCCGTGGTCTCTGGGCGGGACGGTTTAAAGGTCGCATCCCTTCGTCGGTGGCAGGCGTTGGCGATGAAGACTCGAGCAGCGTCGGCGGCAGTCGCCGTGGCAGCACCGACAGCGAGGTGCTCAGCCGGCAGCGTGATGAGCTCAGGAAGGCCATGACCGTTCGTGACGGTGCGAATTCCCCTGTCGACTATAACTTCACTCACGGGAATGGTGGGTCTGCGGGCCTCCCATTCGATGAGTTCAAAGTTTCGCTGAGAACCAAGGGCATGAGAGAAAACGCTGGGAACTGATGGCAGCCGTTGCCAGAAAATTCAGGATGGTTCAACGTTGGTCGAATTACGTGGTTTCATTATTTGAGATACCCCGGCGATTCGTCGCCGCCATAATAAAATTGCTAATGCTGGAATCAATCGTATCGAACAACATTCGGTGGGAAACGTCTCCATGCCCCCAATGCCCCAACTGGAAAAAAGTACATGTAGCAACACCGTGAACAACATGCGTAGAAATACGCCATATGCTCCCCTCAACGCCGTGAAACACCAAATAACACAACCCGACACCATCCTTCCGTCATGGCAATTACAGAGACCGCCAGAGACGACCGAGCTGCCACTAACGCTCCGTCGGCACAAACTTGACGCTCTTCCTCCTCTCGCGCTCGCCGGGTCCAGTCCTGCTCCCCGGGCTTGAACTCAGTATCCCTGACGTAGGCGTACCGTTCGCCAACGCCTCGCGAACGCTCTCCACCGCACGACTCTGCGGCACTTCGACGCTGTCGCCGCGGACATTGGGCGGGATCACAGGACTCCGTCCCCCTTCGGCTTTACCCCCTCCACCGACGCCGCCAACCAAGCCGCCCCCGCCGATGCGTACTTTCTCGACAGCTGCACGACCAAGCTCGTCTGAGCGCGTCGTCGACTTCTCATCCCGCCATTTGCCGGGAAGACACGCGTGTCCGCAACCGTCGAGGGGACAACACCCGTCGCTGAGCTCGTAGCTGCCGTCGTCCGAGGGCGCGTGCCAATCTTGAAGACAGGTCGCGTGACCGCCGTGTGCGCAGCCGGGACAGTACCACCATATGCTCATCACCGGGTCGGTTGGCGCCGGGGCGGCGGAGACGCCTTCGGCGAGGGAGAGCATCGTGGCTGTGGTCTCGCGGTGGCCGCATACGGCGCAAGGGGCCATTGTTGTTCGGCAGCGGTCGCATTTCCACAGGGCCCTGGAGCCGAGAGACGGGTCTAGTTCTCGCGGCTTGTGGCAGCTAGGACAGATGAAACCGCCCTTGACGCCTTGTTGAGCGGGGCCGAAAATGGATGTGTAGTTCTCGCCCCAATCTGGAATACCTTCGGGCCAGCCCTTGATACAGAGCTTGCGGAGGAGGGCAGCTTCGATGAAGAGCTTCATTCCTGTCAGACGTGAGTGGTGTTGCCGGAGGATGGAGGATGCGCGATGGGGGTCGATGACGGATTCGGGCACAAGGGGCTTCAGCAGTAGGACCATGGCGGAGGCGTTGAGTGCTGATGTCCGTGTTTCAAAATCCAGAGCGCGAGACAGGAGGGTGTACGGGTTTAGCGGCGGTGAGCGGTCCTCCTCTGGGTTCGATGATAAAGGATGTGGGTATGATGGGTCCTCCGGCCATGGGAGGTAGTCGGACTCGAGAATATTCGGTGTTGTGTCGTGTTGAGGGGCCGTGGCGATCCTCGGAGGGCTCGACGCAGCAACACCGACGTGAAGAGGTGCATGGTCTTCGTAGGTTGCAGGTAGTGATCCCAGCTGTGAATGTGTCGACGGTTCATCCGTAGCTGTATCAGAAGCCATGGTCGTCTGAGAAATCATAAAGATTTCTTCTGGAGATTCTTTGGGTATACTCTCGCCAGGACCATGCAGCGACGCCAGGGCACCATGTTCTGGAGAGTCCTCGATTTCTTTGCCACGGATGCGGCTTTCATATTCGCCCTGCTCTTTAGCATTCCTTTGATGTGCAAGCTGAGCGGGATAGCTAGTGATGGAGTGAGCCGACGCTGATGTACCCCCTTCGGAGGATGATGCCAGCCCAGAAGTCTGTCGGCTGCTCTCGGACATGGAAAACATTTGAGAAAAGCCATCAGAGTCATGTCGCAACGGGCGTCGACTATTCGGCGTGCGGGGGCCATAGTCCAAGGGCTTCTGCTCCTTTTTCTTTGGCTCGGGCACATCTATCGCTTGAGACAGTGCGTCAGTATCATAGAAGTCGTATCCCTCTGTGATGGAGGCCTGCGTCTGATCGCTTTCATGACTTGTAGTAGACAAAGGAACCGAGTCCAGCCGTCTCCTTGGACTTATGTTGAACGTACTGTGGGCAGCGGGGGGCAAAGCAAAGCTATCCAACTCTTTGACCGGCGGCAGCTGAGCTTCCTCAAACTGGTCCGCATTTTCCTCGTTGATGGCCCTCGCAATTGGGGTTGCAACATTGGATGTGCTTTCAATCTCTTCGGAGAGCAAGGACCGCGGCCCCAAAGACTTGCTGTCTATGCCATTGGATGTAAGAGCTGACGGCCGTCGAGGGGTTTCTTCCCCATTCATCTCCACAACAACATCCAATGCTCTCGGTACCCTGAGCTTGGGTACATCTTTGCCTTTGGAAATGGACCGCCTCTTCTGGAATCGCCCAAGTCGCGTCTCGAGGTGGAATTGCGCTCTTCTGCTCAACAAGAGGTTCATTGAGTAAGCCAGAATCCGCCATGTCTGTGCTAGGCGGAACAGATTGACGTGTTCTGCAGCGCGTGCGTATTTCTCCATAATGCCAGAGATTCTTTGCGCTAGTGGTTTCGCTCCATCGACAAACGGGAGGTCTTTGTCCAGAGTCTCAAGATAGTAGCTGGAAAGATATTGATAAACATCGACTCTTGCTGCTGCAGGCACATGACCAACAGCCATAGACTGCTGAGTCTTGTAAGTGCCTGTGACTTTGATGGCTTGCTCAAGACCCAGAACGAGATCGTCGCCTAGGCCTGGCCCTGACGGAGGGGTGGTGCTGAGGACGGGGATGGAGCGCAGACTGTGCCTGCGTTTCCTGCTCACTCGCCGACGAGGCCCTAAAAAGCTGCCGACGACATCTTCTTCAGAATCACTGCGACTGATGCTCAGCATCGGTGTCGTCGGACTTGAGCTGTAGGATGTTCGTGGAGGCACGACGCTTGGCTGATGATGGACGATGGGAGGTCGTGGGCGGTCATGTAGTCGCTCGTCGAGGAACATGACGGCATCGCCTCTAGCAGAGAGTGCCATC